TACAAGCACCCCTCAAGTCCAGCTCCAAGCAACTAAGGCAGAGATCTGCTCCACAAGATGCTGCACCTCAACACCGGGCCTTTACCCGCGCCCGCACCCGAACCCGCACCCGCACCCTCATGTGCACCGGCTACCGCTGTAAAGTGTGGGTCCCGCCCTGACCAACGGTGGCCAGGGGGCCTTGTCGCGCACACCCTCCCCTAACTACGCAGAGTGTGTCTTTTCTGGGCTTGTTTTCACTTTGGGGGAATATCCCTACAGAATAAGCATCTTAAGAAATTAAAGTGGGAAGTCATCCTGAGACCCGCTAAAGCTTTGCCCGGGTTCCGCGTTGGGCCTGGCTGGGCCGCACGCCCTGTGCTGGCGTGAGCGCGCTCAGAAACCCAAGGGAGATGGACAAATGACCGGGGCTGCTTCACAACACAGCCGAGAGCACACCAAATCCTGACCGTGGGCTTCCGTTTCCTGTTCCTGGTACCCAGAACAAGGAAACAGCAAGCGGCGATAATAGTGATAATTAGTACAGCTTCCACGTACTGGCTGTCTATTATGTCTCAGGCACACTAGTCACTTCTCATGTCACAGCTCTGCAATGAAGGTTCTACTCACTCTACAGGGGAGAAAATTGAGGCCCAGAGAGGCTAACTAACTTGCTTAAGGTTGCACAGCCACTGTGATTGGCCTGACCCTGCACCACATCCAGCTGCTTCCCTGCAAGCTGAGCCGACCAGGAGCCTGGGAGCCTATTTCCTGAGGCTTGTGCCATAGCCGCACGGCCTCACCAGACAGAGGACAGAGCCACACAGACCCTGCGTGCGCCCGGGCAGTCAGAGCCGAGGGCCCTGTGGGCCAACGTGCGCGCCTGGCATCAGGCAGGTGACCTCAGGCTCCGCCAGCCTCAGACCCCGGTGGTGGGGCGGCCGTGGGGACTTCACCAGGGAGACCTCATGGACAGACGGGTCATTTCTGCTTTGATCCAGATGATCTGGGTCCCGCGGAAATACAAATGGAAAGGTCCTGGTGAAAGTGGGTGTCTTAAGGGGGTCGGGGGAGGAACTTCACTGAGCAGAAAAGAGACCTGAGGTCGGTTTCCGCCAGGAGCCTGCCCTCGGCCGTCGCAGGGGCTGTGAAAGCCTGGAGTCTCCATCCCTCCTGCAGGGGCCTCGGGCTCCATGATGCACTTTGTCAGGAGCCCCCTCTGTGCGGAGCTGAAGTCCCCGTCCCCCGTCCCCCGTCGAGTGCGCAGAGAGAAGGTGGGAAGGTGCCTGGGCCCCCGCTCGGCGGGTGTGGAGGGGCCGTGACCCCATCTTGTCTGCCGGGTGGGGCTTTGTTTTCTGCTCGTGGCGCCACCAGCACCCCAGCTGTTCTTGTCCCTTCTACACCCCCTTTGCCCCGACCTCCCCATGGCCTGAGAGGACAGCCCAGCGGTGACGAACCCCCCAGCAGCGCTGGGTTCCGGGCTGCTGGCACCAGGGCCCGCAGTCCACGGCCGTTCCGGGTGCCCTGGGGTGCCCTCCCCCGCAGCTCCACGTGACTCATGCCCACCCAGGCCTTTCTGAGAAGGGCTGCGATCTCCCAGAAAACCCGCCATGCTCAGCCCTTGAAACCCCGGGTAGGGCCGGAAGTGCCAGGGCCTCCCTGCCTCCACCCTGTGCCGCCCAGGCTGCAGCGAGGAGGGGCGTTTGGGGCAACCTTCCCTGTCCCCTCGGTGTAAACACAGCTGGTCCCGTTCCTGGTAGGAATGCATAGAGCCCGGGGACACGGGGACACGGGGACACGGGGACATGGGGAGGTGGAGGGCCTAGAAAGGCCTTGTTGCATGAATGGGGGGGGGGGGGCAAGGGTGTTTGTCACTCGTGGTGGCTGAGCATGTCACCTCCTCCCTGTCCCCACGGCCTGCAGCGGCCAGGCCTTCCGGGCGCAGATGCAGAGCGGCCTGCGCGGGGTGAGCCCTGAGCCTCGGGTGGGTGTGTCACGGGGCACACGGGCCGCAGGGTGCAGAGCTGAGCCCCACGGAAGGCCAGTCCCTCCTCCGTGGGCCCCAGTTAGTCCCCGGTCCATCGAGGTGTCTCACGTGAGCCAGCCCACAGCGTCCCTGCCTCTGGCGACGGACATGCTCTCTGTCTGGCTAAGGAAACAGGACAGGGACAGGGACCGAACCAGCAAGGGGTCAACGAAGACGCAGGAACTAGAACCATGTCACAGCGCGAAACCTGGCCTGGCCGGTGCTTCCCGATCCCAACAGCTTCTGCTCGACGCTGGGCCTGCGCCCGGGCTCCCTGCTTCCTTCCGCCGGTCCATCTCCATCCCCCCCCCCCCACACACACCCTCCGCTCCACTGCCCATTGCTTTCGGAAGCACAGGGTTTAGAGGAGACGCCGGGTCCTTGCCAGCCCCGGTGGTCCCCCACACACAGTCACAAAGACTTTCTCGATTTGTTGGCCTTACCTGTCACTGGGAACTGGGCCTGCAGAACGGCCGCGATGACAAGCGCCTCCCACTTCATGCTGTCCGTCCGTCAGTCCGGGATGAGCTGGGACGCAGGGGCCTGGCAGCCGTGCGGGACGAGTGACAAAGGGAGTGTGTGCTGGCGGCTGGGGCGGCCTCCTCAGGAAGTGGAGGACTAGGCCCCTGAGAGGCAGGCACCTGCCAGCAGCAAGGCTCACACCCCCTCGGGTCACAGGCAGGAAGCTCTGGAGGTTTGAGGGTTTGGGGTGTGTGTGTGCCTGCCTGCCTGAGTTTTGCTCTTTCTCTCACTTAACCATTGTTTCATTTTCCTTCCCCTGCCCCCTAACTTTGGCCTCATTTTTATCTAATTCCTACCTTAATTGGTGACATCGGTCGGATGCATGTAGGAACACGCCATTTCCCTAGACTTGATGTTATGGTGGTGGGTGAGACGAGGGCTGTGCTGCAGTCAGGCTGAATGGAGAGACAGACTACTTGTGCGTTCACAGCGTCCCTGCTACCTGCTTGCTGTTGAGTAAGTCACTCAACATCTCTGGGCTTCGGTGCCCTTATCTATAAAGGAAACTGATGGAGTTGGTCTGAGCTGGCAGTTCTGAACTTGGCCTGAATTTGGAGCCTTCATAGATGATGGTGGGAGTGTAAAATGCACAGCCATCTGGGAGAACAGTTTGGCGGGTTCTTAAAAAGTTAAACATACATTCTCCGTGTGATCCAGCCACCCCCTCCTCAGTATCTACCCAAGACAAAAAGAAATATATGCCCATAGGAAGACTTTACATAAAGAGTCACAGCAGCCGTAGCCGGTTTGGCTCAGTGGATAGAGTGTCGGCCTGTGGACTGAAGGGTCCTGGGCTCGATTCTGGTCAAGGGCACATGACCGGGTGCAGGTTTGATCCCCAGTAGGGTGCGTGCAGGAGGCAGCTGATCAATGATTTTCTCTCATCATTGATGTTTCTATCTCTCTCTCCCTCTCCCTCCCTCTCTGAAATCAATCTATATATATAAAAGCCTAAGCAACCGTTTGACTGGTAGCAATGATGAGTACTGACCACAAGGGGGCAGATGCTCAACACACAGGCATGGAAACATGGAACAGACTGATGAATCTCAGAGGGAAGGGGGAAGGGGGGAGGGCGGGAAGAGATTAACCAAAGACCTTATATGCATACTAGAGGCCCGGTGCACGGATTCATGCACCGGTGGGGTCACTCAGCCTGGCCTGCGGGTATTGGGCCAAATCCGTGCGCTGGTCTTCTAGTAAAAATATATTTTTAAAAAAGAGTCACAGCAGTTCTATTTGTAAAAGCCCCAAACTGGAAACCACCAAAATATTTGTCAGCACATGGATGGATAAACAGGCTATGGTGTTTACATTTTTGAGAAAATTCAACCTATAGGTTACCAATTGCCATTTGAAGCAAAGGAAAGTAAATCAACTAGTATTCATTGGGTTTTTATTGTTATCTATTTTTAAAATAGTTTTAAAATTGATTTTTAGAGAGAGAGGAAGGGAGAGGGAGAGAGAAACATTGATGTGAGAAGGAAACATCGATCGGCTGCCTCCAGGCCTGTGCCCCGACTGGGAACTGAACCATCAGTCCCTTTGGTGCACGGGATGGCGCCCAACCAACTGAGCCTCACCAGCCAGGGCTTTATGGGGTTTTAGAGTCCAAATTATCAGTAAACTAAAGTCAATGACACTGTTACCTGTCGGATCCGGGCTCTTTCACACGAGCAGTTTACATGTACCAACTGCCTTTCCCGGGGCTGGGAGTCTCTCTAGGAAATAAACATGGATGTAGAATACCATCCTATCTAATAAAGAGGTGATATGCACATTGACCCTCACACCCTCGCACAGGATGGCCACCCACATGTTGTCAAAAGATGGCCACCACAAGATGGTCAGCAGGGGAGGGCAGTTGGTGACCAGGCCACCAGGGGAAGGCAGTTGGGGGCGACCAGGCCTGCAGGGGAGAGCAGTTGGGGGAGACCAGGCCTAAACCAACAGTTGGACATCCCCTGAGGGGTCCCAAATTGGAGATGATGCAGGCTGGGCTGAGGGACACCCCTCCCCAGTGCACAAATTTCATGCACCTGGCCTCTAATTGATGTATAAATTTGTCTGTCTCTCCAACAGGGAAAAATCGGAAGTGACTTATATGTTCCCACACCGGGGAGTGGTGACAGCACTGAGCTCAGCCTGGCCATATCCCTCCCATTGATGGAGCTTCTCTGATTCCCCCAGTCCCTGTGGTTCTGACAGGGACTGAGCTGAACCCCAAGCTGGGGAAGGACCCAGGACCCGGGCTGCGCCAGTGAGGGCACCCCACTCCCAGCCACAGTGACCATTCAGGAATGGCTCCCTCCCAGGCTGGGAAGATGCCGCCTCTTTGCTCTATGATTGCTGACTGCAAGTGAAACCAACTCGGCGGGAAGAGGACCAGGGCAGGAAGGCGAGCTTTGAAGGAATATGTAAGGTCAGTGAATTAAAGGGCTCTGACTAGGGCTTCTGTCACTAGCAACAGGGGCTAATACAGGCCATTGTTGATCTGATGAATATTCTGCAGCCACCAAGCCATCCTTACGGACTCTAGTAACATAAGCTTATGACTAAGTGAAAGCAGTGAGATACACGATCAATGATCTTATTATTCAATGTTATAGTTAGGCATTTATTGGAAGCAAAGATTGGAAGAAAACACATAAAAATGTTAGCAGCTATGCTGGCTGGGGAGGCGGTCATGTTTTAAACTTTTTAAATGTTCCATATTTTTCACACATCTTACAATAAATACTAAGGGAAAACTAAGAAAAAGATGAAGCTTTACTGGTTGATTTGTTCGTCCCTCCATTCTGCCTTCTCAGATAAAAATGTACAGAGCCCCTGGCTGTGAAGTGATGGTTTGGAATTTCCCTAAGAAATACTGACACCAGCTTGAGACAGAGCACAGTGGTTTCTGTTCTCAGTGCAAAGCTGAAAGCAAGCCCGTCGCAGGGCAGCGTCCCTTCCTCCGTCACTGGGTCCTCCGTCACTGGGTCCTCCGTCGCTGGGTCCTCCGTCGCTGGGTCCTCCGTCGCTGGGTACTCCGTCGCTGGGTGCTCCGTCGCTGGGTCCTCCGTCACTGGGTGCTCCGTCACTGGGTCCGCCGTCACTGGGTGCTCCGTCACTGGGTCCTCCATCGCTGGGTGCTCCGTCGCTGGGTGCTCCGTCGCTGGGTCCTCTGTCACTGGGTGCTGCGTCACTGGGTGCTCCGTCACTGGGTCCTCCGTCGCTGGGTGCTCCGTCACTGAGTGCTCCGTCGCTGGGTCCTCCATCGCTGGGTGCTCTGTCGCTGGGTGCTCTGTCGCTGGGTCCTCCGTCGCTGGGTGCTCCGTCACTGGGTCCTCCGTCGCTGGGTGCTCCGTCGCTGAGTGCTCCGTCGCTGGGTCCTCCATCGCTGGGTGCTCTGTCGCTGGGTGCTCTGTCGCTGGGTCCTCCGTCACTGGGTGCTCCATCACTGGGTCCTCTGTCACTGGGTGCTCCGTCACTGGGTCCTCCGTCGCTGGGTGCTCTGTCACTGAGTGCTCCATCGCTGGGTCCTCCATCGCTGGGTGCTCTGTCACTGGGTGCTCCGTCGCTGGGTCCTCCGTCACTGGGTGCTCCATCACTGGGTCCTCTGTCACTGGGTGCTCCGTCACTGAGTGCTCCATCGCTGGGTCCTCCGTCGCTGGGTGCTCCGTCACTGGGTCCTCCGTCGCTGGGTGCTCCGTCGCTGAGTGCTCCGTCGCTGGGTCCTCCGTCGCTGGGTGCTCTGTCGCTGGGTGCTCTGTCGCTGGGTCCTCCGTCACTGGGTGCTCCATCACTGGGTCCTCTGTCACTGGGTGCTCCGTCACTGAGTGCTCCGTCGCTGAGTCCTCCGTCGCTGGGTGCTCTGTCGCTGGGTCCTCCGTTGCTGGATGCTCCGTCACTGGGTCCTCCGTCACTGGGTGCTGCGTCACTGGGTGCTCCGTCACTGGGTCCGCCGTCACTGGGTGCTCCGTCGCTGGGTCCTCCGTCGCTGGGTGCTCCGTCGCTGGGTCCTCCGTCGCTGGGTGCTCCGTCGCTGGGTGCTCCGTCACGGGGTCCTCTGTCTGGGTGTAACTGAGGGAAGCGTGATAGGAACGAGGTGGTCAGGACGTTTGTGCTTTGCCTGCGCTGGGCCCGCCCCCTTTCACAGGGAGTTTCTCGTCTTCATTGGCTGTTAGCAGGATCCAAGGCGCTTCGGCTCCTCGGTCACCCCTTCTTTCTACTTTTCGTTTTCTCTTTTCTTGATCAGAACCGGCCTTGCCCTCTGGGCCAGCGGCTGTCCCCGTCCCAGGCACTCATGCCCTTGCAGGTTGAGGCCAGGACGCTGTCCCTCTTCTGCAGGACGTGGGGTGCAGGGGAGCCCGAGTGTGTGGCATGGAGGGAGGGAGCATGAGACCAGGTGTCGCCTCCTGTCCCTTCAGAGCTGCCCTGCCCCAGTCATCACCACCCACAGTATCACTCAGCTCAGTGGTGAGAAGCAACTGACGCCTACACACAAAGTGGTCTGCAGTGCCCCCTGGTGGTCAATAACAGGAACATATTCTGCCCATTCAACCTGTGCCCCCTGCTGTGACCCAGTGGTTGTCTTTCCTGTGATAACAGGTATGTTTTTACATGGCACCAAGTGGTGAAGACAAAACTCCCACGAAATAGGTAGAGGGGGAAATAACAGATAGGTGCCCTCAAACTAATTCCACCACAAGCACGTCAGCACCGAGGCCCTGGGGGCAGAACCTTGACCAAGGCTGCATTCTGGCCTCGCCCCCAATTCTGGGTCACCATGAGCTGTGTATCAGAGGGAAAGGGCCGAAGGATTCCCCTGAAGCGTTGAAGCAGGGTTTGACTCGACAGCACGCTGACATAAAGACACAAAGGGTCGCCAGTGCCAGTGAGAGTAAGGAATATGAGCATCTTAAGAAAATGAATCCAACTCATGTCATTAAAATAATGCTTTTAATTATTGATGCTTTGAATAAGAAATCCGTTGTACCAAGGTTAATGTAAGTCATTCTCTTTTTCTATTTTTAATTATTTTTCTTCACCAGAGGCTGCTGGCTGGGTTTCGGGTGAGCTCATTGTTGTCTTCAAACACAGTGACGCACATCCGCCCCTTTCTCTGAGCCGCTGAGGGCTCTGCGGGGCTGCCTGGCACGCCTCTATGGGGGATTCATCTCGTCTTCTGAAACCAGGTATATAAGTAAAAGGACAAATTTAAATGTCTAAAATTTAGCAACCTCGTTTCCAAGAAATTCAGTGGCAGTTCTACTTGATGCTGTAACCAGGCTGATCTCCGGGACCTTTCCCACAGGGGACCCGAAGCCCTCGGGTCTCTATGAAACATCCTAAGAACTTCACCGGGTGGTTAAATCCGCCAAATGCTGCTTCACCTAAACAGAAGGAGAGAGGACGAAGGATTATTTCATTAAATGAGCTGACATCTTACAAGGTAGTTCATTCTAGGGAAAGACTAGAGACACTTCTAACAGTTTAAGATTCTGAGCTAATTTCCACCGCTCCAGTGTGGTGAGCAGCGCCGGAGACTGGAGTTCTGTATCCAGGTGCCCAGGAATCTTCACGCCAGCCAGCACCCTCTTGTGCAAGGCTGCTGCGGCCACATGCACGGACATAGCGCCGTTCAGGCCGTGTGGTTCTCTACTCAGAATACCTGAAGGTTTAAAAGACAGACACAGTTGAGGACAAAAGGGTCCTGAACATTAGGGCAGAGGAGCGTTAACCAGCCGGTGCCGGACGGTGTTGAGTCCAGCTGGGACCCTTTTCCTGTTGCGGCCGGGACCACGGCTATCAGGAACTCCATCTCCCGGCATGGGAGGCTGGGCAAGTTAGTAACCCGTGACCTCTCCTTACCTGTCCTTACTAGGGCCAGGTGGGCACAGCCGAGGAGATGGCACGAGGCCTGGTGCTCAGACTGAACCATGAGCGGAGGCAACTGAGGAAACTTTATCGAGGGCGTCAGCAAGCACCTCTGTAAACATTAAACCTTCATTCCATGTGCAGATGTGCCCATGGCTTCTGCCCCAGCAGCCCAGCGAGGCAGACCGACGTCCGTGAGCCCCTCACTGCCCAACTCTGGGGCATCTGTGCTGAGCCATCTCAAAAGACGCCTCTGAGAGCAGCGGAGTCTAGGGTGCAGGCGGCTTCACGGCATTTGGAGAAGTCACATCCTCCAAGTCTGATCTGGGCCGACACCACAGGGCAGGAGCTCCCACAGCCCCTGGGAGGGGTCCCTACGGGTATCACTGTCCACTCCCCGGACCAGTGGACAGTGCTGGTGGCAACCCGAGTGGGCAGCATGGTGGTGGGGCCACTCCAGACTCTGCGCCTGCCTCAGAAGGGCCACGCCCTGGCACGTCTTTGGTCTCCCCGTCAGAGGACACGGAGGACATACGCCCGCTTATCTCTCAGCTGCAGAAAGGCCACTCGCCTGTGAAGCGAGAACCTTGGGTGTGTCTCACTCACTCAGCATGGAGAGTTAGAGAAAACATCTGTATTTTGTTATTAAAGTGAGCATCGCCCCTGGGCATGTTACTTATACAAAGACTACAGGCCCTGTGCACGGATCCGTGTGCCAGTGGGGTCCCTCGGCCTGGCCTGCAGGGATCGGTCCGAAACTGGCTCTCTGACATCCGCCAAGGGGTCCCAGATTGTGAGAGGGCGGTTTGGGTGACACACCCTGGAATCGGGCTCCCTCCTCTCTGGTTCTGGGTGCGTCACCCAAGAACCACAGCTCCCAAGTCAGCTCCTGCGTTGAGCGTCTGCCCCCTGGTAGTCAGTGAGCGTCATAGCCGGTCAGCCAGTCACTTAGGCTTTTATACATGTAGATAACTGTACTTCAGAGATGCTTATGTCCTGTGAGCGTCCCCTTCAACCTTGAAGAGTGGGCCTGCCATTTACTGACTGTCCTGGGTGATGTGTTGCCCGGCCGGCACACTGTAATGGCGCCTCTGTGTCCCTATAAAGCGAGGTGGCGTTTCCAGCCCCAAACCTGCCTGTGCCCCTTCTCCTGCAGGTGCGTGGACTCTTTTCAAACAAGCAGCTGAGAACCCGCGTCTCAGATGATCAGGCTGGCAAGTCGCCAGCACTTACGAGACGCCTGCTCTGTGCCATGCATTGTCCTAGGCTGTGTTTAAGATTCAGGAATAAAAGCTGAGCCCTGACCGGTGTGGCTCAGTGGATAGAGCGTCAGCCTGTGGACGGAAGGGTCCCGGGTTCGATTCCGGTCAAGGGCATGTGCCTGGGTTGCGGGCACGTACCCAGTGGGGGGTGTGCAGGAGGCGGCTGATCGGTGTTTCTCTCTCACTGATGTTTCTAACTCTCTATCTCTCTCCCTTCCTCTCTGTAAATAGAAAAACATCGATAAAATATATTAAAAATAATAAAAGAAATAAAAGCTGAGCTTTGCTGTGAAGAAATGCAGTTGTGGTGGGATGTCAACAGTCCAACGTGGACCTGGCCTGTGTGGAGGAAGACAGGACACACAGTGCCGGGAGCAGAAGCCCGAACGTGAGCTACACCTATGTATCCCCACCTCACCTCCGCCAACAGCGGTCCGCTAGGAGACCCTGCATCAGGAGTGACACCGGAGCAGGAGCCGGCCGGCCACCAGGGGGCGACTCGAGGGGCAGCAGAGCGTCATGGCAGGAAGCCGGCGCTGCTCCCCATCTCACAGAGGAGGGACCACGTTACCTAATTCATAGGTTGCGGTGAGAGCAACGAGTTGATACAGATAAGCAACCCACACTGCACCCAGCCGGCAAGAGCAGCTCAGCAAACACTGGTGCTGTTGTTACTGTTGTGGCTGTGGTTGCATCACCGCCCGGGAGGCCGTGCGGATGGCAGGGATGCCAGGGTTACAGTGTACCTGGGGAAGATCGGTCCCTTGTCTTCCTTCATTTGACCCCTGACTTCATTGCAAAGCACCTGACCGCACCTCCTCAGGCCCTGCTCTCCTCCCTCATTCTCTCCCGTGGCTCTCAGCCTCCTCCCTCTGGTGCCCACTGGCTGGCAGGGGACCCACTCAGCCCCCCGGGCACCCCCAGGCCTGGGGGCTGCTGGGCATGGGGCCATGTGCTCAGACTCGGGTGGGGTCACTCAGTCCAGAGGCACCCAAGTCTGAGTCTCATGAGAAAAGGCCATCCCGGGTCAGAGCCCACAGCACAGCCTCAAACGGGTCTGGCCTGCAGGCAGAGCTCAGGGAGTCCGGGAACTGGGGTGGAAGGAAAAGCTTTCCTTCCCATTAAGCTCTGACCGAGGTTTATCATCTCCTTCAGTGAGGAATGTAGGCAGCAAGCCACCTGGTGACAGTGTACCTGGGCCCGTCACCAACAGAAACACAGACGCTTTCATGTCACATTAGAGCTGCTGCAGGTGCCTTAATGTTACTGAGCGTGCTCATTAAAGAGCCAACATATCACGATACCACAATTACAAGACATATTTTATGACTGTACTTCAATACAGTCGTTTGCTTTGTAATCCTATGTATCTTATGCATTAAAAAAATACTATTGTGAGTGTGGCCACAGGCCCTACCAGACTGCCAAAGGAGCCACGCCCTGGCTTCGGACCCCTGGTGAGGGCTCCGAAATAAGGTGCACGATGGATAAACACACACCTACTGAAATGTGGCGTTATAGTATTCCTCGGGCGTCACGATCTTGGGTCCACCGAAGTAGTCCAGGAGCCAGATGTTGGTTATGTTCAGCTTGGCAAAGAACCAGCTGTGGCTGGAAGGCCAGTCTTTCATCTCAGGGTGGCGAATGAACAGCGACTGCTTTGCAACGTCAACCTCGGTCTCATTCACCTGAAAGACAGCGAAGTGACCAGGCTCACAGTGGGGACAGCCTTCTCATCTGTTAACAATGTGATTCTAGCATTCCACACATCCTAAGCGTTCGGTTACAGGTCCTGATTATTTTTACTGTTTCTTTTTTTCAATTAAGATATAATCCTATATAATAAAAGCCTAATATGCTTAGTGTCTGGTCAGCCATTCAACCAATCAAAGCATAATATGCTAATGATACGTTAAGGTTGCTCAGCTGCTTGCTATATGATGTGCACTAACCACCAGGGGGTAGACCTGCTGACCGGTAGGATAGCTTGCTGCTGAGGTCCGGCTGATCAGGACTGGGCAAGATGGGCCGGACATGCCCTGGAGCCCTCCCGTGGACCACTCCAGCCCCAATGATGCACTGGTGTGGTCCCTCAGCCTGGCCTGTGCCTTCTCACAATCCGGAACCCCTTGGGGGATGTCACAGGGCCGGTTTCAGCCCAATACCCCAGGCCAGGCCGAGGGACCCCACCAGTGCATGAATCCATGCACCGGGCCTCTAATTCAGAATAAGACAAGAATAAACTCTGTGTTTCGAGTACTCACAACTGTAAAGTGACTTCTGTTGCCCCTGTATAGATTGTGAAATGATCACCACAGCGAATTTGGTTAACACCCATCGCCACACATACTAGTACTACAAAAATGCTTTCCTCTTCTCTTTTTCTTTCTTTCTTTTTTTTTTTGTGATGAGACCTTTTTAAGGCCTACTATACATCCTGATCATAAAAATAAGGAAACAAGAAAGTGTGACGGAAGCTTGAGTAATGCAGACAGCAGTGAAGAGCTCACATGGAGATGAGAATGGGCGTGGACATGACAGACCAGTGCAAGCCCGTTTTCATTGCTAAACGGTAATTTTGAGCTGGTAGAGGACTGGCAAGAGGCACTAGCACGAATGTGCCTGGTGCTAATGATGTATCCCATTAGCTCATTCATCCCAGGACAAATGTGTGGGAAGCACGGGCTGCAGGTACACAAGGTGAGTCTTTAGAAGACACAGGGAGTCAGGAGCACTTGCTGCCCTGCCCACGAAGGGCACGCAGACACAGAGATGCCTCCACATAGAACTTCGAGACCATAAACAGAACTGGCCCACGAAACCGGGGTCAACAGGTCAGGAAGCGAGTCCCTGGCTGGGCCATCAGTCAGTGCTCATGACACCTTGCCCTCTGTACTCCCCACGGTTTTACTGAACCTCCTCCCTCCAGCACTCACCCCAAACCGTCCGCATGCACACCGGGACTTAGTAATGGATTCTCCCCTCCTAACCTACTCAGGACGCTCTCTGCTCTAAGCCACGGTCAGTGTGGAGACCGGAAGGGCGCATGCTGTCCAGTGGACAACACGGCAGGAGAGTGAGCTTGGGCTGAGATGTCCCTTATTTAGGGGCTTCCCCGCTATTAGATCTGTTTGACCTCAAGAAATAGTCCCTTTTGCTCCTGAGTGTCTGATTGAACACCTCTATGAAAACAACTGATGAAATCTTTGGCTGCTTGTGAAATTACTTCATACATGAGGACATGCTCTAACTCTGCATCTCAATCACAAACCAGCTTTATTTTATTCTCCAACTGTCTCTCCTTCATTGTTAACAAGATGACGGTTAACTGGCTCTTCTAAAGCCGGTCTGTTCCTGCAGTAACTACGTACCTTGGTTACAGTCCCTGACAGGATGATGTGAGCGCAGAGGGGGCTTTGGGGGTCAAATCCATGTTTCCTGCAGAAGTTAGTCTGCGCCAAAGACATGGTCAGCGTAGCAGATGGATTCTCCTG